TGCAAAATAAACGCATAGCCCGTGGCGCCAAATCGCACCATGTCTGAGAACAGGTGGACGCCCCTGATTCAGTGAAGGACTATGAGACCCCCAGTTTATTCGCAAACCGAAAGATAAAATAATAATTAGCAAACGATTGGTATCATCCCCCCCCCCCCTTCTTAGAACAATTCCCTCTCCATTGTGTTTGTTTTGTGTTTGTTTTGTGTTTGTTTTGTGTTTGTTTTGTGTTTGTTTTGTGTTTGTGTTTGTTTTGTGTTTGTTTTGTTTTGTTTTGTTTTGTGTTTGTTTTGTGTTTATTTTGTGTTTGTTTTGTGTTTGTTTTGTGTTTGTTTTGTGTTTGTGTTTGTTTTGTGTTTAGTTTTTTTCTGTTCCGAAATTGGTACATTTAAAAAAGATTTACCGTGGCGGAGCACGGGTATACAGCAGGTACAATTTATTGTTGTAATTAAACATATTTTCAAAGCGTCATCTCAGCTGACATCGTAGAATGTAAAATGCGCGCACATACATACACACACAAATACACAAGGTTTTGTTCAGAGATAGTTTTGTAAACACATAATTTGTAATTGTATGTGAGATATGTACTCAAAATCAATAATTGGATATTTTTATCTAATTCAATTTTGTTGTTTTTTACAAAAAGCGGCTGAATTCTGCAAAGTAGGTATAATGACGGAGATTCGGTTAAACGGACAAGCCTGGTGTATTAAATACGACAAGCGTTTACGAACGTTTCATAACGCCAATGCAGAATGTAACAAGTTAACCGGCGGGCCGAACAATTCGCTTCGGGGACATCTTGTGGAGATCTTTAGCCAGGAAGACAATCAGGTTATCAGAAGTAAGTTTTTATTTTTTTACAATTACTAGCTGCATACCCGTGCTAGAAATCTTTTTTTTTTTAATGTACCAACACAAACACAAACTTGCAGATAGTGTTAAGGGGGAAGGCTCTAGTAAAAAAAAACTGTTTTAATACTCGTTAGAAAACAGTTATTTGTTTACAGCATTATTAAGATAATTCCGCATATTATTTATTTCCACTAAAAAAAATGGTGGAAAAATCTTGGTAACTATGACAATGGCGGCCGTCTTTAAAAATTAACCCCTTCGTAGGTTTTCCACCATTTATAAAATATTACATTTTAAGCCCAATAAACAATCAATTCATAATCTTCTTCCATATTTTAAAAATTTGTGTCCGTTCAAATATCTTAATTTTTGTGGAATTTTTGGGGCATTAAAAATAGTATTTTTATGGACCCACTATTTCAAAATTTATAAAATAATTAGTTTGAAGATATGCAATTAAATTTTTTAGCAGAGTTCCCCAAAATATGGAAGAAGATTATAAATTTGACGAGCTGACCCGCGGCGCATCATACGCCGCTATTTAGTTGTTTTACTTTCTAATTTTCAGTAATTCAAAATTTGTGAATTCGACAGTACAACTGCTGTCACTGAAAATATTTGCTTTAAAACACTATCAGTAAGTCGTTAAGGACGATAACCCCACCCCTCATTCCCCCCCCCCCCCCCCGTGAAAGCAGCTTTCTCTTAGCTACCTCCCCTAAGTTTAAAATCGTTTCAAACTAAATTATCTGCCCCTAATAGCCGTCACTAAACCCGGCTCTACGATTGTAATCATTTAGCGTGAAACACAGCTCACCAGGCTTCCTAGAGAGGAAAAGAGGGGACTGCAAAACGCGCTTACATCTTGTTTTCTAACGTCTCCAAGAAGAGAATGATATATACCGATTGTTTATTGGGCTTAAAATGTAATATTTTATGAATGTTGGAAAACCTAAAGAAGGGGTTAATTTTTCAAGATGGCCGCCGTTGTCATAGCTACCAAGATTGTTCTACCAATTTTTTTTAGTGAAAATGCATATGCGCATGTATCTTAATAAAAATGTAATGAAATAATTGTTTTCTAACGAGTATCAAACAAGTTTTTTTTTTGTTTACCGGAGCCTTCCCCATTAAGGAACGTTAGTATCGGAGTGTTATGTCCAATGAATAGACGTCCAAGGTTGGAAACGGGTAAGGAAATTGTGCCATGCATACAATGAGACGGCATAGCTCATAGTGATGCAGCTTACCCTAAGTCTTGGGTTCAAATCCTGATTCAAGTAAATAGAACACCCCTAGGTACACCCAACTCTGATGGGTATCTAACACGTTTGGGAAAGTAAAGGCATCTGGGCAGTGCTGAGCAAACATTTCTTATTCGAATTTGTAGAAATATGCCTCTACTGCAATTGTCCCATTGATAGTCAGGTTCGAAAATGGAACTTGATGATCGCAATTATTGTAAAATCACACTTTTAAATCTTTCTTCTTCTTCGTCCTTAATTATTAGTGTTGAAGGGATCGAGATTTATCTGCCAGTGGGTTTGAACTCGAGACTTTGTTCGAATTTATCAACCATGAGCCTTTTGCCGACTCGATCACGCCTCCAACACAATTAAGCGGTACGTGTCAACTGGTTATGCGCCATTGAGGCCATTGACTCCGATTTCAGCCTGCTTTTCTTTTTGCCTTTGTCCAACCAAGAACAAACTACAAGGCAGCAGTTGTTTAATTTTGGAGTAGTCTCTCCTAGAAGAGTGGCTGTCCCCAGCTAACGAGCCTCATCTGCCCGAGGGTTCGAACTCGAGACTTTTCGGTTTAGCAACCATGAGCTTTACCGACTCGACCACGAATATGTTATATGATATTAATTATTATTTAATCATACTTTGAAAAAACTACGCCAATTGCTATATGATAATAGTTATTAATGAATCATATTTTGAAAATAAACTATGCCTTTTGCTATATTATAATGATAATAATTATTATTTGATAACACTTTGAAATAATTACGCCAGGTTTTATACAAAAGAAAAAAGATCCGCTAAGTGGTCCTGAATTTAGAGCGTTCATCGGACTTTACCGTACCAATAACACATACAGATGGGTCAACTCAACTCAGGTAATTTTACATTAATGTATTAATTTCGAAAATCAGGAGGAGCCCCGATTTGTAGCTATATCTCTCTGTCGGACTCTGTGATGAACAGATATCTCTATTTTAGCAGCTATTTCTTCTCATTCTACTGTTCTTAGTCTCAGTTAGAATGTATGTCATCAGGCGTCAATAGGAGTTTCACCCATATGCATCATTGGTTATTTTAGAGAGAAACTAACTAGAATAAGATAACGTTAGGTTATCCTTAGTCTTGGACGTTAGAAAGTTCGTCTGCAGGCTAGCTTCATTACGGGTTTGACTAGCATCATTCGCTCTCCTAAAGAGGAACCACTTGGAATATGTTGGCGTTGGGTTGGTGTATTTTGAGTTTTTGTAGATTGGGTAATTTTCGAGGTATAAACGTTATAAAACAGTATTAATTACCTCTTTTCCTTCTTTTCCAAGCGTATAAAAATCCTAAATATTTTGGAAATTTTAAACAAGTGTTATAATATTTACAAACTCAGACTCTATATTATACTTGACAATCTTTTACTTATTCACTTTCTCTGTTTGTAAATTTTGGTATAGGTGCCAAAATATTTTGATGTTGATCCAAGTTACTCAGGTTGGGTAAGTAGGCTAAAAATTAGTATTGTGTTCTAATAATGTCCTTTAGATGGGTGATTTCATAATCAGCAACATATTTTACAATATACCATAAAATATCAAACGTTATACGCCACGAATCTTATATTACTTAAACAAATTAGTGAGATCTTTAGTAAAGCCTATATTTAAGTACTCAAGCTAATATTCTAAAAGTGTTAGAACTATGTTAAAACACTGTTGCACATTTTAGCCGGGGATTGCATTTAGTTATTCCAACCTCGTTTTTGTTTTAAACCAAATAATTTATTTTTTTAAAATAAATAATTAATTTAATTAAATAATATTTGTCCTTACAAATAATGTTTCTATTTCAGATGCTAAAAGTGGTAAGATGGGCATGTATTAACTGAAGTCGGATGAAAAGAATATGCATTTACCCATATAATATAGAACATAACTAGAGCCAGCCCAATATAAAACGTGTTATATTTCGAGCCTGCAATATATTCTCATTGTATTCTCTATTTTCCCCATTTATAAATTGAAATATCTAAAACCTGTCATATCTAGAATCTGCAATATCTTTAGCCTGCCATATCTAGAGCCTGCTATATCTTTAGCCTGTCATATCTTGAGCCTTCTATATATAGAGCCTGCTACATCTAGAGCCTATCATATCTAGAGCCTGATATATCTAGAGTCTGTCCTATTTAAATTACGTCATATATATAGCCTGTCATATCTATAGCCTGTCATATCTAGTGCCTACTATATTTAGATCCTGACTTATCTAAAACATGTCATATATAGTGCCGGCTATATATAGAGCCTGTCTTATCAAAAACCTTTCCTTTTTAGTCCACCACACAATTCAACTGTCTTCTCTAGTACATCCCCATCTTTGACTGTTCATATTTTTTTATAACCTGCCATGTTTAAATATCCTCGTGTCTAATATATCAGTCAAGAACTTTCCTTATGTACAACCTGCAATATGTAGAACCTGTCTGTCACAGCCCTTTCGTATGACTGGGTTCATGGCACGAACTAAAGGCAAATACAAACCACATTATTTGTGATTTTACAGTCTTTTATTAATATCAGATATATAGCAGTTACACTACTAGAACCACGACTTTCAGTTCCGTCATCTTTCTTGTTCTGCCGCCTTCTACCTCTCGCTTCCTTTCCTTTCGCGCATGCGCACACCGACACTATATTTTATATTTTATCTCGCCTTTTTAATACACACACTCGCAACATACATTCATATACATTTAACTGTTATACTGTCATATGGAGAATGTTGTGTATTTGTAACCTGCCATATATAAAATGTGACTATATATAACCTGCTTATAGTAAAACCTTCAATATATAGGACCAAGGATATACAAAACCTGCTATATATAGAAACTACAATAAATAACCTGCCATTTGTAAAGCATGCTCTTTTTGGATCCTACCATAGACAGAACCTACAATATATAAAACCTGGTACTGTATTACCTGCCATACATAGAACCTGCTTTGTAAACAACAAGGCATATGTAAAACCTGCTATTAGTAGAACCTGCGATATAGAGAACCTACAATCTATTCAACATGGCATTTACGCAACCTACCATTAGTAGAAACTTCCAAAATTAGACCCTGGCCAAACATAAATCTCGACAGAACTCTATAAAACTAATTTCTTACCTGTAGCCTTATGCAACACACGACTTCCTTAATGTACGATTAATTCTACAGGACGAATCTATACGAAGAGATGAAATTAATAAGGGCAGTAATTCGCAACCAGATGGCCCAGTTGTAATTACTGAAACAAATTGGAAAATGTATAACAACTCTTCGAATTTTGTCTGTCAAGTTCCCCCCAGTAAGTTTAATACTGTTTTTCATAAATATGCTTAGATGGGATGTGTTGTGTTTAGTTTTGTTCTGTTCCCCAGTTGGTAGGCCTATATTTAAAAAAGATTTACCGTGGCGGAGCACGGGTATACAGCAGGTACAACTTATTGTTGTAATTAAACATATTTTACACATACATACACACACAAAAACACAAAGTTTTGTTCAGAGATTGTTTTGTAAACACATAATTTGTATTTTATGTGAGATATGTACTCCAACATCAATAATTGGGTATTATTATCTAATTGAACTTTTTTTTTAATCGAAAAGCGGCTGAATTCTGCATAGTAGGCAATATGACCAAAGTTCGGTTAAACGGAAAAACCTGGTGTATTATGTACTACAGGCTATTAAGAACGTTTCATAACGCCAATGCAGAATGTAACAAGTTAACCGGCGGGCCGAACAATTCACTTCGGGGACATCTTGTGGAGATCTTCAGCCAGGAAGACAATCAGGTTATTAGAAGTAAGTTTTTTTTTTTTTTTTTACAATTACTAGCTGCATACCCGTGCCAGGAATCTTTTTTTCTAAATGTACCAACTTTGGAACAGAACAGACCCAAACGCAAACACAAAGAACAAACACAAACTTGCAGATGGTGTTAACGAATGTTAATATCGCAGTGTTATGTCCAATGAATAGACGTCCAAGTAAGGAAACGGATAGGGAAATTGTGCCATGCATATAATGAGACGGCGTGGCCAATAGAGATGCAGCTAACCCAAAAGTCTCGGGTTCAAATCCTGATTCAAGTAAATAGAACACCCCTAGGTACACCCAACTCTGATGGCTATCTAACACGATTGGTAAAGTACAGGCATCTAGGCAGTGCTGAGCATAAATTTATTATTCGAGTTTATAGAAATAGATGGCCTCTACAGCAATTGTCCCATTGATAGTCAGGTTCGAAAATGGAACTTGATGATCGTCATTATTATAAAATCACATTTTCAAATGACTACGGCATATGTTATATGATATTAATTATTATTTAATCATACTTTGAAAAAACTACGCCATTTGCTATATGATAACAGTTATTATTGAATCATATTTTGAAAATAAACTATGCCTTTTGCTATATTATAATGATAATAATTATTATTTAATCACACTGAAATAACTACGCCAGGTTTTATACAAGAGAAAAAAATTCAGTCCAGTGGTTCTGAATTTAGGGCGTTCATCGGACTTTACCGTACCAATAACACATATAGATGGGTCAACTCAACTCAGGTAATTTTAAATTAATGTATTAATTGACCTATTCTTTCGAAAATCATGAAGAGCCCCGATTTGTAGCTACACCTCTCTGTCTGACTCTGTAATGACCAGCTATCTCTATTTTAGCAGCTATTTCTTCTCATTCTACTGTTCTTAGTCTTAGTTAGAAAGTATGTCATCAGGCGTCAATAGGAGTTTCACCCGTATGCATCATTGGTTATTTTAGAGAGAAACTAACTCGAGTAAGATGGCATTGGGTTATCCTTAGTCTAGGGTGTTAGGAAGTTGTCTGCAGGCTAGCTTCATTAAGGGGTTGACTAGTATGCATCATTGGCTCACCTAAAGAGAAACCACTTGGAATATGTTGGCTTTGGGTTGGTGCATTTTGAGTTTTTGTAGATTGGGTATTTTAAGGAGGTTTAAAACGTTATGAATTAGTATTAATAACCTCATTTTCTTCTTTTCCAGGCGTATAAAAATCTTAGTTATGTTGGAAAATTTATACAAAAGTTATTTTTTTTACAAACTCAGATTCTATTAATAATATATTATATTTGGCGATCTTTTACTTGTTCACTTTCTCTGTTTGTAAATCTTGGTGTAGGTGCCAACATATTTTGACGTGGATCCAATTTACTCGGGTTCGGTAAGTCGGCTTACAAATTAGTATTGTGTTCTAATAATGTCCTATACATGGGTTATTTCATAATCAGCAACATGTTTTATAATATAACATAAAAAATCAAACGTTATACGCGACAAATCTTACATTATATTACTTAAAGAAATTAGTGAGTTCTTAATTAAGTACAGCCTATATTTATGTAGTCAAGCGAATATTCTAACAGTGTAAGAACTATGCTAAAACACTGTTGCACATTTGAGCCGAGGAGGGCACTCAGTTATTCCAATCTCAAGATTGTTTTAAACAAAATAATTTTTTTTTTTAAAATAAATAATTAATTTAATTTAATAATATCTTTCCTTACAAATAATGTTTCTATTTCAGATGCTAAAAGTGGTAAGATGGGCATGTATTAACCGAAGTCAGATGTAAAGAATATGCATTTACCCATATAATATAGAACATAACTAAAGCCAGCATAATATAAACGTGTTATATTTCGATCCTACAATATATTCACATTGTATTCTCTTTTTTTTTCCCCATTTATAAATTGAAATATCTAAAACCTGTCATTTCTAGAATCTACAATATCTTTAGCCTACCATATCTAGAGTCTGCTATATCTTTAGCCTGTCATATCTTGAGCCTGCTATATATAGAGCCTGCTATATCTAGAGCCTATCATATCTAGAGCCTGATATATCTAGAGTCTGTCCTATTTAAATTATGTCATATCTATAGCCTGTCATATCTATAGCCTGTCATATCTAGTGCCTACTATATTTAGATCCTGACTTATCTAAAACATGTCATATATATTGCCAGCTATATCTAGAGCCTGTCTTATCAAAAACATTCCTTTTTAGTCCACCACACATTTCAACTGTCTTCTCTAGTACATCCCCATCTTTGACTGTTCATATTTTTTATAACCTGCCATGTTTAAATATCCTCGTGTGTAATATATCAGTCTAGTACTTTCCATATGTACCACCTGCAATATGTAGAACCTGTCATATGGAGAATCTTGCATATATGTAAACTGTCATATATAAAATGTGACAATATATATCCTGCTTTTAGTAGAACCTTCAATTTATATATAACCAAGAATATTCACAACCTGCCATATATAGAAACTACAATAAATAACCTGCCATTTGTAAAGCAAGACATTAGTAGATCCTACCATAGATAGAACCTACAATATATAAAACCTTGTACTGTATACCTGCCATACATAGAACCTGATTTGTAAACAACACGGCATATATAAAACCTGCCATTAGAAATATATTGCATAATATAGAACATGCTATATATAAAACTAGCATATATGTAACATACCATACGTAGAACATGCGATAAATAAACAACCTGCTATATATACCACCTGCCAAATATACAATCTTCTATATATACAACCTGCCATGTATAAAACATGCTATCTATACAACCTGCCATATCTACAACAAGCTATATATATATACAACCTGGCATTTACCCAACCTACCGTTAGTAGTACCTACAAAAATTAGACCCTGGCCAAACATGAATCTCAACAGGTAAGTACTCAAACCATAGCTAGAACTCTTTTGAAATAATTTCTCACCTGTTGCCTTATGCAACACACCACTTCCTTAATGTATGATTAATTCTACAGGACGAATCTATGCGAAGAGATGGAATTTATAAGAGCAGTGATTGGCAACCAGATGTCCCAGTTATAATTACTGAAACTGATTGGAAAATTTATGACAACTCTTCGAATTTTGTCTGTCAAGTTCCCCCCAGTAAGTTTAATGCTGTTTTTCATAAAAATGCTTCGATGGGATGTATTGTGTTTAGTTTTGGTCTGTTTCCAAGTTGGTACATTTAAAAAAGATTTACAGTTTTAAATAGACATGTTTGTTTGTCGAGAGTAATCGTTCAAAATTAGAATCTATCTAATACTACTAAAAGTCAAGTTTGTTTACATGTTTGAATATTTATTTTTTTGTTTGTTTGTTTTTTTGTTTGCCTGATTGACTATCTCGCATGGTTGCACTCATCGTGGAAAGCTGTAAAATAGTATGTAGGTAGAGAAAAAATTTTGTTTTAAGACAGACTCTTAATCACACATTTATTTAAAGACGTTAATTAATTTATTGATTTATTCATACGCAGAGTAACCCATTTTTTTTTAAAAGTTTAGAACGACCACTACACTCGGCGTGACCGTGACGTCACAGTTTTTTGTTTACTCTTTAGTACAATAAAATGGCGGCGTCTATCGAAGAAAATTGTGTTCCCATTCAAAAGTTTAACGCGTTCTAAATCTAATTTTCTGTCGGTCATAACTTTAACAATACGTCCGTTTGCTGTATTTATTACGTTCCAACACTTATATCAATTTTAAACTTTTTCATTTAGTTTTACAATAAATTTCTCTAGGTCTAAAGATCAGCTGTCGAAGGAAAGTTATTTATAGATCTATATCTAGAATCTAGAATCCAAAAATCTAGGTCAAATCAAAGATTTTATTAGTTATAAATACAGTAAAAAAAACGAAACTTTAGCAAACCAGTCGTAGATCTAGAATATAGATAATTCTATCTAGATTTAGATAATAATGAGTTTATATATACTAAACTATTTTAGACCTTTATTATTTTATATAAATCTTTGTTTGTATAGCTATGAAATATGCTAATTAGGAAATTCTGGATGCAGGGCCTATTTGCATAACTTAAGATTCATACGCCGCTTCTATACCGCTAAGTGTGCAAAATTATAGACGTAAACTCTAGATATAGCTCAGTCGTAGATCTAAAATATAGATAATTTTCTATCTAGATTTAGATAATAATGATTTTCTATATACTAAACTATTTTAGACCTTTATTATTTTATATAAATCTTTGTTTGGAATATGGTAATTTTGAAATGCTCGCTCCGGGCCTATAAGCGTAGCTAATGATTAGATCTAGATTCTAGGTCTAGCAAGAAAAACTAAACATAAGAAGACTTAAGCAAAAGAGTCCTAGAATCTAGACTAGATCTAGATAATTCTATCTAGATCTAGATAATTTCAGACCTTCTTTATTTTATATAAATCTTTGTTTGGCTAATTTAAGATAAAATTTAATTTGAAAGTTACTACTACTAGAGTTAGATCTAGATCTAGATCTATGCGCGTAAATCAATTTGCATAAGGAGACTCAAAGTATAGTATAAAACTTCACTTGTGACGTCACGAGTAAATAGCTAAGTTGGTGATGAGGTCGGCTCTCATGCGGGTGGCACAGGTTCTAGACCTATTCGTTAATGATTTTTTTTTTCAATTTTATTTTTAGATGTGAATAATAAAGTTGCCTATCTGAACTTGGCAGGATACAGGGCTGGTGAAGTAGAGTTTGTCTGTTTCTTTGTCCTAAGCATATGAAAGGATAGTGTGGTCAGAGACATGCTCGGCTGAAATCGTTTTTTAAACGATAAAAACATGTCTGAGACTTGGCGGGACACTGGACAGGTGAAGTAGAGTTGAGTAGGTCACCTATGAAGTCAGTATATGAAGGGATAGTCCGAAATCGGTGTTTTCGGTGTTTTTAAAAGATAAAAAACAAATTTTTTAAAGTGGGGTCTGTTTTTTTGTGACGATAAGTGACACTGCAGTAGCGTAGTGGGGGGGGGGGGGGGGTGACACATATGTCCCCGGGCGCCGACCTTAGGGGGCGCCAAAATGGGTTGGAAAAATAAATTGAAAGGTTGAGGGGGGGGGTGCAAATCGAAAGTTTGAGTGGAGGGGGGGGGGGGTTGAAAATCGAAATCTTGAGGGGGGGGGGGCGGGTGCACATCAAAAGTTGGGGGGGGGGGGTTTGCAAATCGAAATCTTGCGGGGGGGGGGGGGGGTTCAAATTGAAAAGTTTGTCCCCGGGCGCCGGGAAGGGTCGCTATGCCTCTGAGTGACAGACTTGATGTTTTTTGATGGATGACCCCCGAAACCCACAGTTATCCAACGGATGACGGGTAGTCTAGTAATTATTAAAAATCAAAAGTATATAGAGGTATATATATATATATATATATATATATATATATATATATATATATATATATATATATATATATATATATATATATATATATATATATATATAAATATATAATATAAGCGGGCTGAGCGTGTGTCAGTCCTTCTGTCATCGCTATAGATTTTGAAACCATAAAAGTAAACATCGCACCATGCTGTGCTTTTCAGTGCACCGCAGTGTCTTATTATAAGTAATAGAGTAGGGTTTGTTTATATAACGGCATAGAGCTATTTTATAATTTCCACTGTTTTTACAATTTTGCATAACATAAAGAGAATATTAAATACACGCACATTGCTAAAACATATTAAAAGGATCAATGTCAAATATCGTTTTCGTTAATATTCCCAGAAAAAGTGGATACATATTAATAACATAATAACAGTACGGTAGAAAAATCTAATTAAACTGCTTAGTAATTTTGCCAATGGAGGTAATTCAAAGATAAATTGAACTCACGCTAAAAATGTGAATGCAAAATCTGCAAGACGGAATAATTGTTGGAATAATATAATTAGCAAAATGTGAATGCAAATTATGCAGACGTGTAAGAGTACATTATTGTTGGAATATTATTATTAGCATTGATTGATAAAAGGCTATCTTTTATTTATTTTATTCACTGAATGTACTGTTTACTAATTATAATTTTTAATCAACTATTCTCCATTACTATATTAAGTCATCACGTTCATTAGGTGCGCAATGGTTTTAGTCATGAAACTTTTTTGTAAATTTTTAAAAGTACTGAAAAAAATGCATGAATTTATAAAGTGCAATATGGTCGGTAAAAAACGGATATTCTAAATACTGCCTTTAATTTATTTGCGGAAAAGCTAGGGGTTTTATAACAGAGGCGTAGCAAGAGGGGGGGGGGAGGGTGGAAATCGAAAGTTTGAGGGAGGTGGGAGGGTGTAAATCGAAATTTTCCGCCGGCGCTCGGAAAGGGCGCGATTTGGCGCTACGGGATAGAATGTGAGCAATATGCCTTTATGATTACATTTAAATTGAGTGTTGTGTTTGTTTTTTCGTTTTTGTTTTTTCTTTGCGTTCGTTTGTGTTGTATTTAGTTTTGTTCTGTTCCCAACTTGGTACATTTAAAAAAGATTTACCGTGTGTTGTGGTTGTGTTGTGGTTGTGTTGTGGTTGTTTTGGGGTTGTGTTGTGGTTGTGTTGTGTTGTGTTGTGGTTGTGTTGTGATTGTGTTGTGGTTGTGTTTTGTTTGTGTTTGTGTTGTGTTTTTGTTTGTTTTGTTCTGTTCCAAAGTTGGTATATTTTAAAAAGATTTACCGTGGCGGAGCACGGGATGCAGCTAGTATATATATATAATAAAACACGTTAGTTGGACAAAACGAACGAACGCGGCTGAGACCGAAATTCTCGGTTCAAAGCAGCTAAGTCTGCGCTCGCACAGATAGGCGGTTTGCACCGAGAATTTTAGACCGAGCAAACCGTCTATCTTTTAAAACCTGCTATAATTTTGTAAATATCAACAAAACCCATTTTAAAACGCTACAGTATAGTCGATAGAGAGTTTCTTCGCACATATGATTAAAAGTAGTTTGTATTTAAGCGATCAACAAAGAAATAATCAGTTTTTTGTCTCTCCTGTAAAATTTACATTTTTTGAGTTAGACGGTTTGTGACCGAGACCATCGAACCGAGAATTTCGGTCTCAGCCGCGTTCGTTCGTTTTGTCCAACTAACGTGTTTTATTTATGTTTAGGCTTTTAAGTTATAATTAACACTTCATAATATTTAGATTATAGTTTTGGGCTCATATTTTAATTATTTGAGTTTATTCTACTTTATATGGTCAGTTAAATTTTAGTAGAGATGTTTTAATATTGCTTTATCGCTTGAGCCTGTTTATTCATTATGGCTGTATTTAGCACTAGACTTGTTAACTGTTGAAGGTTATGCTTTATTTATTACATGTTTCTATTCTCACAGTTTATTTTACTAAATCTTGTGGGTGCTGGGTTTGTAGAATGAAAACAGTAAAAATATAAACCTTATTTTCAGATATATTATGAATGAGACATAACACATTAATCACATTAATAATGACTTAATGTTTACTTATTTGACAAAATGTAACAAAACAATGTATTTATTTTTTAATTTATTCTTTAAATAAACGTCACACGAAGAGACATTAAAATGGCAACATATTTTTAAAATTAGGCAAATCATCACAAAAATATGAATTTATAACTTGCTTTTAGGTGCTCATATATGACAGCTTTTATCTTTTTTTTTCTGCTCTTGTTTAACTTGTCAGGGGCTACAGATGAGATCATAATCTTACGACCCTAGCTTAGCAATTGCCAGCTATCTGCTTATTCACTTTGAAGTAGACAGTAGCATCAGGCTTGTACTGCAGTGCACGAATATTTGTCGCATTCTTGATAGGTCTGACTGGTCTTTTGAGAGTGGCTGGTCTCTTGTATGGTAAGACTGGTCTTTTTGAGGTTGGCTGGTGTCTATTGTCTGTTATGTGAGGCTGGTCTATTGTACGTTACGACTGGTCTGTTAAGAAAGGCTGGTGTCTTCTTTGGTAAGACTGGTGTGTTGAGAGTTTGGTCTTTTGTATATTACGACTGGTTTGCTGAGAGAGACTGGTCCCTTGTACGGTAAGAATGGCCTGTTGAGAATTGCTGGTGTCTTAGAGGGTTAGACTAGTTTGTTGAGATATTCTAGTTTCCTGTATGGTAAGATTGGTCATTGAAGAGAGTTTGGTTTTTTCTATGTTAATACTGGTCTGTTGTGAAAGGCTGGTCGTTGAGAGAGGCTGGTCTGTTGAGAGAGGCTGGTCTGTTGAGAGAGGCTGGTCTGTTGAGAGAGGCTGGTCTGTTGAGAGAGGCTAATCTGTTGAGAGAGGCTGGTCTGTTGTGAAAGGCTGGTCGTTGAGAGAGGCTGGTCTGTTGAGAGAGGTTGGTCTGTTGAGAGAGGCTGGTCTGTTGAGAGAGGCTGGTCTGTTGAGAGAGGCTGGTCTGTTGAGAGAGGCTAATCTGTTGAGAGAGGCTGGTCTGTTGAGAGAGGCTGATATGTTGAGAGAGGTTGGTATGTCGAGAGCGGCTGGTATGTTGAGATAGGCTGGTCTGTTGAGAGAAGGTAATCTGTTGAGAGAGGCTGGTATGTCGAGAGAGGCTGGTATGTTGAAAGAGGCTAGTCTTTTGAGAGAGGCTAATCTGTTGAGAGAGGTTGGTATGTCGAGAGAGGCTGGTCTGTTGAGAGAAGCTGGTATGTTGAGAGAGGCTGATATGTTGCGAGAGGCTGATATGTTGAGAGAGGCTGATATGTTGAGAGGCTGGTCTGTTGAGAGAGGCTGGTCTGTTGAGAGAGCATGGTCTGTTGAGAGAGGCTGGTCTGTTGAGAGAGGCTGATATGTTGAGAGGCTGGTCTGTTGGGAGAGGCTGGTCTGTTGAGAGAGGCTGGTCTGTTGAGAGAGGCTGATATGTTGAGAGGCTGGTCTGTTGAGAGAGGCTGATATGTTGAGAGAGGCTGTTTTTTTTAGAGGCTGGTCTGTTGAGAGAGGCTGATATGTTGACAGAGGCTGGTCTGTTGAGAGAGGCTGGTATGTTGAGAGAGGCTGGTCTGTTGAGAGAGGCTGGTCTGTTGAGAGAGGCTAATCTGTTGAGAGAGGCTGGTATGTCGAGAGAGGCTGGTATGTTGAAATAGGCTAGTCTTTTGAGAGAGGCTAATCTGTTGAGATAGGTTGGTATGTCGAGAGAGGCTGGTCTGTTGAGAGAAGCTGGTATGTTGAGTGAGGCTGATTTGTTGAGAGAGGCTGGTCTGTTGAGAGAGGCTAATCTGTTGAGAGAGGCTGGTATGTCGAGAGAGGCTGGTATGTTGAAAGAGGCTAGTCTTTTGAGAGAGGCTAATCTGTTGAGATAGGTTGGTATGTCGAGAGAGGCTGGTCTGTTGAGAGAGGCTGGTCTGTTGAGAGAGGCTGATATTTTGAGAGGCTGGTCTGTTGAGAGAGGCTGGTCTGTTGAGAGAGGTTAATCTGTTGAGAGAGGCTGGTATGTCGAGAGAGGCTGGTATGTTGAAAGAGGCTAGTCTTTTAAGAGAGGCTAATCTGTTGAGATAGGTTGGTATGTCGAGAGAGGCTGGTCTGTTGAGAGAAGCTGGTATGTTGAGTGAGGCTGATATGTTGAGAGAGGCTGATATGTTGAGAGAGGCTGATATGTTAAGAGGCTGGTCTGTTGAGAGAGGCTGGTCTGTTGAGAGAGAATGGTCTGTTGAGAGAGGTTGGTCTGTTGAGAGAGGCTAGTCTTTTGAAAGAGGCTAATCAGTTGAGAGAGGCTGGTCTGTTGAGAGAAGCTGGTATGTTGAGAGAATCTGATATGTTGAGAGGCTGGTCTGTTGAGAGAGGCTGTTCTGTTGAGAGAGGCTGGTCTGTTGAGAGAGGCTGGTATGTTGAGAGAGGCTGATATGTTGAGAGGCTGGTCTGTTGAGAGAGGCTGGTCTGTTGAGAGAGCATGGTCTGTTGAGAGAGGCTGGTCTGTTGAGAGAGGCTGATATGTTGAGAGGCTGGTCTGTTGGGAGAGGCTGGTCTGTTGAGAGAGGCTGGTCTGTTGAGAGAGGCTGATATGTTGAGAGGCTGGTCTGTTGAGAGAGGCTGATATGTTGAGAGAGGCTGTTGTTTTTAGAGGCTGGTCTGTTGAGAGAGGCTGATATGTTGACAGAGGCTGGTCTGTTGAGAGAGGCTGGTATGTTGAGAGAGGCTGGTCTGTTGAGAGAGGCTGGTCTGTTGAGAGAGGCTAATCTGTTGAGAGAGGCTGATATGTTGAGAGGCTGGTCTGTTGAGAGAGGCTGGTCTGTTATGTGGTAAGACTGATGTGTTGAGAGAGGCTGGTCTGTTGAGAGAATCTGGTGTGTTGAGGTAGGCTTGTCTGTTGAAAAATTAATCACAAAAGCATTTACTTAAGACAACTAACCATATAAACATTTCTTAACACGTAGCTAAACCTAAATCTAAAGCTAGTAGTGAATTAACAATAATTACATTTATTGCACAATCTTTTGGAAATATAATTCGAATAATATTGTTTTGATTGATATTTAGATTCTAGAATGAAGATCTAGTTTCAAAGCATTGTTTTAGCCTAAAAACTTGTAAACAAATCAGTTTGGTTATTGAAAATCTGGAAATAGGCTATATTAAACAAATACTATTTGTTTATTATTCTTTAAAATGATAAAATGTAATAGAATATCTGAACATAATTAATCAAATATCCTTACCTATAAGTCCCGTGACTGCTGTGCTGTAAAATTGTGTGATTGCTGCGTGCGACTGCGTTCCCGATCAAAAGTGTACTGACAAATATAGCGATATTCGTTTTGCGCCGAGATTTTTAGCGCTTGAAATAATAGGCGGTTTGTTCAAATGATTATATCTCGATAATCACTCTACAGATTTTTCTGATATTTTCAGGTATTATGGGGAATCATACTGGCTTTTGATTTATGTAAAAAAAAGAAAATCGAATTTTTTTGAGTTAGACGGTTTGCGACCGAGACCATCGATATATATATATATATATATATATATATATATATATATATATATATATATATATATATATATATATATACATATATATATATATATATATATATATATATATATATACGTTTATATAATGTTTTTCATAAGTATGCTTAGAAGGGAGCAGGTCGTTTTCCAGAATGGGCATTTGTCCAACTTTGAGCATTCGTCACATTTAGACAACGTCCATTCTGGCTATTTGTCGCATTCGTACAATTCTCATTCTAATATTTGCATTAATCTCTTGTAGATATTAATTTTTTCAATACATGTACGCTTATATATACAATAAACTCATATGTATATTTACATATAACGCTCTATAACCTAGATACATCGATGAGCATTGCCTGCACGGATAAGGAAGAAGGCAGCTCAGGAACTATTGTTGAGGCGACACTTCGAAGTCCTGACATTCTTAACTTCCTCAATCAAGATCTGTCACTAGGCAGAAGCATAATTGTAGTTAGAAGAAACGGGCATGTTATCGATCATAACATAACGGTAAACAAAGACGCAGTAACAGTGAAGGTAATGTGTGATAAGTGTAGCCTTGCTGATGAAGGACAATACGTGATCAATGTATCAAGTGTATTTAGGTGGAACAATTTTGAGGAAACGTGTGATTTGAAGATTTATCGTGAGTGCAACATTTTACTTTATGTGTTGTCGTGAATGTTTTTAAACCACATGTTCTAATGTGTCATATGTGATTGCATTTGTTATTCTAATCAGTGTTTCTTTCAGTCATCGATCCGCGGGGGGGGGGGGGGCTTTTCCACATATCGTGATTTAAAAAGTCCAGATTTGTATATAGCCATTGGATTGAAAAATAATGTATCTCTTAAACTCCAGCAATATAAGCTATTTAATAAACACAGAAGTCACGGTCTTTAAAATATAGGTTTTTCCCAGGGCCAAGAGCATGGCCTGGCCGTGACTACTAGTCTAACATATAAAGTTCAATTCTGTATGTGACGACCAAAACACTCGAGTTGGTCGCCATAGTATACATAAAGTGTTTATAATCTAAATTGATTATAAAAAAATAACAGTGAATGCTTTTACAGGAAATTTAATTTTCCAAACTATTCGTTGTAATTGACGTAATAAGGATTAAACAACATTAAAGAAAATCTATTCTCAACATTTCTAATTTTATCAGAAAATTACTTCCCTTGATCTTTTAGCACAAATTACTTGCTTGATACATCACCGTATGTGTGATATATTTTTGTTTTTGTTAGCGTTTGTGTTTGCGTTTGCGTGTTAGCGTTTGTGTTTGTGTTTGATTTTAGTGTTTTGGTTTTGGTAGGTTGTGGTTAATATGAAAAGTAATTCGCATGCTAAGCGCGTGTAATGTCGGGGATATCTATATATATATAATTATCTTCATAGAGACCATAGAAAACACCACGCAGCTTAGCCACCACCCTCATCCCCACTTGCCAGGTGAGCTGTGGATTTACCCCGAATGTTTACAATAGTAGAGCTGTTTTCAATACATGACGGCTATTAAGGGCAGATAATTTAGTTTTTAAACGATTTGAAACTAAGTTGAAATAATAAGTTCTGCTTGATATTTTCATTGTCGTCTGTAAACGGCTGCTTTCACTGGGCGGGATGGGGGGGGGGGGGAGGCAGGGGGAGTGGGGTAGTGTCGAATTCACAAATAATGAATCGTTGATAAGTAGAAAATAAAACAACTAGATAGCGGCGTATGCTAAGTCGCGGGTCAGCTCGTTCTACTTAATCCACTTGAGTGATCAAATGCTTCACGCAACAAATAAGACGAATAACCACAAAAACGTTACAAAACACACAACTAAATAAAATAAATGCTAGTTCACAATTAAAAAAAAGAATTTAATAATAACAACTCTAAGTACACTACACAGACTTTTCTAAATATAAATACATAAGCTGGTGCACAAACTAAGATACAATGGGCATATTAAAGTACACAGAAACAGCCTACACTAAACTAAACTTGTAGAAGAACTGGACTGAGCTGAGGCAATCATACACATTACCGGAAGTAAATGTTATAAAATATTCAATTTTGGTTGAAAAATTTGCTTTCTGGCAACAAAAATTTTGAACCAGTTGGAACCAGCGTTTCGTGTCTATTACACTCAATCGTGATTTTATAATTTTGACTTAACATCATCTAGGAAAAAGTGGCCTAGTGGTATAGCGTTAAACTACCGAAATTATCGAGTTTGAATCTGGGTTCAGATTCAAATCAGTAGAACGTCCCTGAGTCCACCCATATCTGATGTTAGTGTAAGTAGATGTGGCTAGGCATAGTGCTGTTTAACTACCTGTTTAACTACCTTATCAAAGTCACAGAAACAGGTGAACTCTACTTCACTTGCCCAAAAGGACCGTCATCGTTTTGAAACGGAACTTTCGGTTTTTCTTTTTACTAAACATCCTATGTCGATGTAAATTACTATTGCAATTTGCCCATGTAATTGTATTTTAGTTTAACGCTTTATTTGTTGAATCCCAATAGAAAAAGACGACCTGAGCTTTCTTTACTATGTTGTTCCTATTGCCGCATTGGTTGCTGTGGCAGCTGTTGTTGGTGTTTACATTTATAAAGGTGAGTTGATTTTATTTTACATGTCACACACACACACACACACACACACACAAACAAGCAAACAAACAAACCAAAATATACATTCGTTTTCCAAAATGTAAATTGCCCCTAATTAAACTCCCATTAGTATCATATATTAAAACATATTAGACCACCAGTTGGTCCAAACTACCCGTACGGTAAAGCGGGTACTGGACGGTTTGGTACGAGTTTACTCTTCATGCAGTGGGGTAGAAGATAATGCTGGTGAGAAGCAATCGACAGAAGCGACCGATACACGCTAATTAAACCGATATACTAGACAGTAAGTGGGAGACAACACAAGAGCCGGCGGTATATGCAGAGAAAGAAAGAAAATGTTGGTCCAAATGTTGATTATCTCCCTGCTAAATAATGACGGCTATATAATATATAAAATTTAAAATGTACAAACTTGACTAAAATAAAGTTTAAAATATATTTTTTAAGGATAGGCACCACGGATAAAAAAATTTTTTTTATTTAACACATTTCTGGTTGTTTAATAAGTTTATATAATTATAGTTGTTAAACTATAGACAAAAATAATATATAGCCGTCAATAGCAGTACTGGTTGCCATGGAAACCGCGAAAAGGTGTGAAAACTAACACCTTTTCAAATCGCTAAGGCTTTGTTCCCATTAGAGATTTTAAAAAGCGGATGAAAGATTTAGATTTCTCAAACCAAACTATACATTTCTACGTTTACTCATTGCGATAGCTTGTACTCAATTTTTAATACAAATTTTTACGTAAATTTATGTACAAAAATTAGGGGGTGGTGTTACATAAATATCAATATTTCCTAAAGTATTGTAGTAAACTTAATGTACAAACGTAGTTTTGTAGATGGTATCATGCTGAATGCACGTGGAATGTTTTATTCTTGTATGACAAAGGGTTCCAAAGCCTTAGCGATTTGAATGTTGAATTTTGAGTAAAAATGCAAAGTTGAGAAAACGTGAAAAGAAGAGCGGGAAAAGGCACGGTGCGTTTTCTCTTATAGAAAACAGAAAAAAACGTCTTGTTATATGTGGAAGAACCATTTGTCTAATAACATACGCTTTGATTTATGTTGTAAGTTTTAGACAGATTTTTTCTATGTAAGCAGAAAATATGTATACAACAAGTAATGAATGTATGACTATTAAGTATTACACATCCTATCAATCGAGCGGTATTCTCAGAACAGCTATCTTCAAACCAGATCAAGTTTTGTTTGTTAGCCGGTCTTCTCACTTCAAAATAATGTCTTTCTCTACTCAAAGTCTAGCTTACACAAGTTTATTGCCTTATGATAATAGCCTACAACACAACACTGGGTACAACGCTTGAGGCTAGACACGCCCCCTCCACCCCACCCCACCGCTGGATAGTACGTGAAGAACCGATGAGCCATAGATTACCAATGTTCATTCAACCGCGAATAACACATCTGTGTAGATAGGGTCAAGTACAGGGCCTAAGTGAATGCTTCTCAGCTATTCTATCTAGTATTTACATTCGTTGCTACCACACCCTATACGGAGAGATGGGCATACACATTAACACATGTGTCGTATACAGTCCGGTGTAAAGCCTGATGAACGCGTTCAAGCCTATCACAGCATGCCGTAACTAGATTATAAACCGGCCGTTGGTTGAATGCCGAGAAGGGAATGAAGGGGGTAAAGGGGATGGACTTAGTACATTCTTCAAACTGATAGTCATGTCCATGACGCATTGTTTCAGCTTAGTATAAAGCGTACGAAACAGTGTTTAATATTGTTCCAGTGATAATCAACAGTGCATTTCTAGGCCACGTTTCAATTACTAAACTTAATGTTGTACTATAACTTTAAAACAACAAATAGAAGAGTATACAAAAATGAGGTAAACAAACGAGACAGGCGATTGTTTTGTTTATCTAGAAACAAGATGGCTGCCTAGCACACGTGGTTAGTTGCAGCCTATCGTGAATTATTTTGATTTACTGTACTATAATATGATTGGTCAAGCGTATCAATGAATCTCTTCCCATTCATAATTTTTACGTGCATGCCCTTATATGGAGTTTGATATAAAATTTTACTTTGTAGAAAACAACTTCTATCTCACTTATTTTTAGAACAAAAGAAAAGGTCACTACACCAGCGGGTACACGAGTGCTTGGCCCTTAGATTGCTGTAAAGTTTATGGTGCCTCGCGGGCCATAAATACATGTAATACCCGTTCGAAGATAGCCGCTGTCCGCGTAGTAGTGTGAAAACTTGCCGGGGGGTACCATGTTTCACATCGCAATAAACGGATAACCGTAAGCTGTAGAAGTCCGAAATGTTAGGGTTAGATAGATAAAAGGTATTAGTATCGAATTAAGAAATAAAAATTTTGGGGTGCAAAATTACAATTTTATCGAAAACATGGGTATCTTGTTCCCTTAAATTAGTTATTTTATATTATGTAAAATCCCCCGCAAGACTTTGTAGACTCAAAATTGAAAATATTTGACAATATCATTAAGGGTACTTTAGATAATCCTAGTTAATTTTTAAGGTGTGTTATGACGCACAATAGATCAAAAACGTAATGTCTGATTACGGACTGGTTAGGTTGGTTTTTTTTTTGGAGGTGGGGGGTGGATGTTCTTTTTACAATACATACTCATATATATTTGGTTATGCTTTATATTGATTATTGATTTAAAGCGAGACCTAATTTAAATATTCTTACATTGCAGTATATAATTTTGAAGTACAAAACAAAAGGAAATATAGAACGTCTAGTTTGTATTAAAATCTAATATAAAATGTTGACTTAACACGAAGAAAGGTACATTTCCATTTCAACTTTAAATCTTACAGTGCGTCGTCAAAGAGCTATAAAGAGAAGAAGTGGTCTCATGACTTTCTCGGCACTCAATGAACAGTCTCTGTCTCCACCCATGGACAGTAGCGTATATATTTTACCTGTTGACCCCCATGGCGGCAACGCCCAAATATCAGATACAGCAACATATGAGCTTTCAGAAAACTACTACAGTTCTATCAAGGACACAGATGTCATGAATGAAGGTGCTGCAAGTGATGGACAGTCTGAGATCACAACTGGACGTGACGAGAATCAAGCGGGTGGTGTGAACAGTTTGGCCGAAATTGACACCAAAACAGATTTAAAGTTTGACAATAAGATATATATACAGTTTGGCGCTAAGAGCTATGAACAAGTTGATAGAACAGTAGATGATAAGCATGGTGTTAATAGACATGGAGAAATTGACTTTAAGACAATTGGTCACCTTGAGAGAAAGACAGATGGTCAGCTTGACAATGAGACATATGGTCGACTTTATATAAAGTCAGACGGTCAACTTCAGGAAACAAAAGATGTTAAGCTTGACACGAAGAGAAGCGTAGACAGGGACATTAAGAGAGATACAGAACAAAAATCGGGTGCAAGCGAACAGCTAGACGAAGATCAGCAAAACGAATCTACACCAGCCGATGGGTTAAACGACAACGCCATGTTATACGACACCCCTGGAAATGATTTTTCGCCAGAAGTAAATGAATATATGACTCTTAAATTTTAAAGCTTTATACAATTTCCTCCTAGCATATTCCAGATATTGTGATGTATAATTAGATGTAGAGAAAATTAATGACAATGTTGCAGTAAACGAAAATCACAGCCGTTAGAAAGAAAAACATAAACATACTTAGCTGATCAATATTTTTTGGAGAAAATGTCTGCTTAAATTAAGTAATATTTCATCAGTTTTGTTTTATTAGTTTTTTTAATGTCATTTTTATACTCCTAATATTACATGACTGAAACGTGTTTTGAGTAGTCTATGAGCAGTATAATATATCAGTGTTTTTTTTATCATACTTGATTTATTTTTTTAAGTCTGTGTATTTTAAAATTAAAATGTAAAGCTTTTATTTTTTTTTAAATTGGATCGCCTTTTGATGTGTTGTAATTACCAGTTGTTTCTTTTATAAACGTACTTGAATGTTTTAAATACATTGTGCCCTAATTTACAGTTATCTTTTTATTATCTATAATAATAGTTTCGCTGTCTCTCTATCTATCTATCTATCTATCTATCTATCTATCTATCTATCTATCTATCTATCTATCTGTCTGACAAGAACGCTCTAGAGAAAAGACAAGCAATTTAAAAACATGCACAGTAATTCGAAAAACGAAGTATGACGTCGACACATTTAGCACAGAGTAGAAAATAATCTCAAACCCAGAGAGTGCTCACAGTTATATGACGTCATTGATTTTCGCGTTAACATTGAATAAAAAGGAAATGTTGTCTAATCTTAATGGTTTGCGTGAAGAGTTTCTTGCATACAATTCTTCGGGTAGGGGCGAAGCCCCACCCCCCGCGTAAGAACGTCTGAGCCCCCCCCCTCCCCAACTCAAAAGAAATTTCTTCATCGATACTCTATAATAAAATTACCGCCTAATTAATGTGTCTAATCTAAAAAGTGGTTTTCTTGCAATTTCTTTAATGCAATTCTTCGGGTAGTGGCTAAGCGCGACACCAGTGTTTCTTTCAGACTTTTTCCTCCCCGGAGAGGGGTGGGGGTAATTGAAATTTTCGAGGGCGGGGTTAGAATTTTCGGGGAGGGGGGGCGGACACTGGAAAAAGTATATAATTATATTTCGTTGAATGGGACGGTAGACATGTTTTTTTTGGGAGTGGGGGGGGGGGGGGGGGGTGGGGGGTGGGGAGTGTTGGGGGGGGGTGGGGGGGAGGTGTGAGTGGGGGGGGGGGGGGTGGGGCGGTGGTTTCCTCATCGATACTCTATAATAAAATTACCGCCTAATTAATGTGTCTAATCTAAAAAGTGGTTTTCTCGCAATTTCTTTAATGCAATTCTTCGCGTAGTGGCTAAGCGCGACACCAGTGTTTCTTTCAGACTTTTTCCTCCCCGGAGAGCGGTGGGGGGTACTTGAAATTTTCGGGGGCGGGGGTAAAATTTTCGGGGAGGGGGCGGACACTGGAAAAAGTATATAATTATATTTCGTTGAATGGGACGGTAGACATGTTTTTTGGGGGGTGGGGGTGGGGTGGGGGTGGGTGGCGGTGGGTGGGGTGGGGGGGGCTGGTGTGTGGGGTGGGTGTGGGGTGGGGGTGGGTGTGGGGTGGGGGGTGGGGGGGTGGTGTGTGTGGGGGGGGGGGTGGGTTGGTTTTAGTTTAGAGAAAAGAGACAGCACTATCAACCTAGCGCCCGGTGTATCCTTCCTCAACGGGCCATTTTTCTCGTTATAAATATATAATAAACTAAGCAAACACACACACATAATGTTGTTATCGGTGAATTTTGTTTTTGTAAATAAAAGTATTTAAAAAATATTTTAAAATCAAGTGTTCTATAAGAAATAAATTAATATAACCAGAATGAAAAGAAAAAAAATGAAACCGCATTTAGTCTGCGGTTTTTGCATCTTTGTAAATAATAGGTTTTAATAGACTATGTAATTTTGCTACATTTTTGCAAAAATAAAGTCACAACAATTGTTTTCCATGATAAATACACAATAGTGGTTTATGGTGTATAGCGTAGTATTGTATTTACTATTATATTATTAGTAATTATATTTTTATACTATTTCTGGCCTTACTGTACTAGAAATCATTGTGTACTTATAAACACATAGTTACACTGAAGAATTTATTTAATTTGCTCTTCCAAACAAACAAATAATATAAAAACATAATGTTTCATAGTAAATTTTAATCCTTGAACTCATTTTTCTAAAATGTTGTTTTTGTGACTTAAGTACTTTTAGCACTAAGATCTTCAATTTTAGTAGAAAAATATGTTTCTGGCAACACAATTAGCAGCTGATTGAAACCAGCTTTTAAAGCGTATCAACCTGCATTCTGGTTACAGAATTTATAGTTGCATCAGAAGCGTATACAGTTTACAGTCGTATACACTACTCTGAAGATAACAAAAGAATAAAACAGAATTTAATCCTACAACATCATACAACTTATCACAAACAAAAAATCCAACTAAATATACACACAACGCAAAAAAAAACAACAATAAGCGCAATGCAATTTGTATTTTAATTTCTTTAGAAAGTTTTTTTTTAACATAATTGAATACTTATTAAGACAAGCGAGCTAAGGTAGGGGAAATAATCATTCACTATATATATATATATATATATATATATATATATATATATATATATATATATATATATATATATATATATCGGTCTGTACAATTAATTGTAATTGTTAAATTCAAACAGATCAATAGCTATTTTATCATTTTATATAATAATTTATTATTATTTTTTTGTTGCTAAAGCTGTTGTTTTCACTCAGAATTTACTATATAAGTTATTATAAGTAGTAAGTATATGCTTGTTGGACGTGCTGATCGTCTTGACTCAGACTAATAATTTATTCCATTTTCCAGCATGTCTGATAAACAAACTGTTGTGGACAGTATTATTTCTTCCAAAAATCTATCGTCGTTGATAACAGTGAAATTATAGATTTGGACGAAGGGCTTTTATTAGCAAAAACAATAATACATTTGATTTAAAAGAATAAAAAAAAATCAAGAAGAAGCACTCAATTCGTGTACCATAGATGCTAAACAAGTCTTTTAAATCACTTTAGCAGTTGCCAGTTGAACGTGTGGAAGGAAGCTACCTAATAACTCTGCCTTAACCCAAGACATTTCTGACTCTGAGAAAAACCAATTCCAAAATAAAATAAAACAAACTTTAACAAAATGGCAAGAGTATGCATAATTTAAAGGTATATCAAACAAAAAGAAGTCAAGAATGGTGTGGGATGAAATTTACAAAAGATTTTAATCCCCGCTGGAGTTACAATAGGGCTAATAATTTAACTAAAGTTTGGCTTATTGAAGTCCCAGCCAATGCAGATCCTATAGCGGACCAGTATGCTAAACGCAAGACAGCTAAACAAGAAAGAGTGGCCAAGAATGAGTTACAGAAGTTAAGAAACAGCACGAACTCAGAAAAAGAAAATTCCTGGTGTGGGTTTAACACCAACAGAGCAGCCAAGTAAAGACTACCTGTCTAAAGCCCTTGCATACAAATCAACACCGTCAATAGTCAAATTTACAGAAAAACTAGCTAAAGAAAAACCTCCCAAATATACTGGGAAAATAAACTTTGAGCCAAATATAGGAAATTTTTCTAAAGAAAAACAGAAACAGCTGCACATTCTAGATGTTTATTCAAAGAAAATTCCTAAAATTGATGTCACAAAGGCAGCAAACAGAGCTCTAAGAGGAGAGGATGAACAACGATCCCAAAGGAAAAATAATAAAACTCACAAGAAAGCCAGAAAGAAATAAGCTTTTATGTAATAATGCCCTAAATAACTATAGAGAAAAGCGTGAATCTCTTCCTAAATATTAGACACTACTATTTAAGTAACTATAAAGAAAAGCATGGGTCTCTTCCTAAATATTAGTAAAGGTATCCAATAGATACTAAATTGACCACCGCTTTTCTTTATAGTAATTTAAATAGTAGTGTCTAATATTTAGGAAGAGACCCACGCTTTTCTTTATAGTTATTAAAATAGTGGTGTATAATTTATTTTTTACTTTTTAGTGCATTATTACATAAAAGCTTGTTATTAAAACGTTTTTAATGAATTTTTTTTCAGTACTTTACATGTTTTATTTACAATAGTTAAATGACTAAAAACCATTGTCAACTTTATAGCTAAAGTTTCAGTAAAGTATTATGGGATGGCGTAGTCTAGTGGTAATGAACTGAGGAAGTGAGTTTAATAAAAGTTTGTAAAAGGCGGGCTTTAAGTCAAAGTCATCTGGTCATAAGGAAAATGACATGTAGAACCATAATTTGTTGGAGGAAATCCTCTTTTTTATATAACAGTAGAAAGAAGTAGCCCTAGATGCGCGTGTGTGTGAAGGCGTTCGTGCGTGCATGCGTGTGTTTGTGTGCGTATGTGTGCGTGCGCGTTTGTGGTTTTGTCCATTACATTACTACACCTTTCACCCCCCCCCCCCCACCCCCTTTAAACTTTGGAGAGTTAATGAGAATACTCCCTGAACGGTTGCTGCACACAATAAAAAGAACTATTTCGTTCCAAATAGCTCACAATGGTCCCGAGGGCCCCTTAATTAAAATAATGAATACTCTTGAATTTATTTAGAATAATTAATTAACCAGGCATAGATTATTTTACAAAAAACATTAACTTGGTTATTGCCCTTTGTCTATAATTTTCTATAACTGAAAGAATATCTTTGGGCTAAACTTTTGTTTTTCTATCAAAAAGCGTAGTTTCTCAAATTAGCATTCTTAATTTTCAAAGATTTCCTTGTAGACGACTCTGGTTTATAGGTTTTACAGATAAACATTGCTATATGGGCCTAAAGCGCTTAAATTTCGGATTAGCTGTTCAGATTTATTTTAAAAAAAATCTACAGAAGTGCTTCCTTAAATTCAATTTTTTTTATTTTCTCGTATATACGAAGTATAGAGAAAGTATTGTAATCGTGCAAAAAAAAATAACATAAAATGTTGACAGTTTTCACCGTTTTACTCCTCAGTCCTTCATCACATCCGGAGTATAGAGGACTTATTTTAATCAGGCAAAAATTATAAATACAAATATATAAACGTTTTGGCGTTTTATGCGTTATCGAGTCGGAAAACTGGACTTTGCAATTATGTCCGTATGTCTGTGTGTCTGTGTGTCTGTTTGTCCGTCTTTGTGTAAACACGATAACTTGAGTACCGTTACAGCTAGGTTGATAAAATTTTATATATAAGTATTTTATCAAAATCGTAGATCCTGATCAACTTTTGAGCGATTTCCAATAACCAAAAGCCTATAAGCTGCGTACTATTTTAGATAGATTCATGAAATTTCACACGTAAGTAAAAGATCTAATTTTCTACCTTCTGTCAAATTTTGAGTAATTTCCGTTGACCAGAAGTACTAATTTACGCTATTTCCGATTTCTCAAAAAACG